TTCTTCATTTTTTAGAATAGCAAGGTTAACGAAATATTTCGTTAAGTTTACTAAAAAATTTTGAGCTAGTTCTGAGCTCATTTTAGTTCCATTTTTGGTGAATCAGGACTTTTTTCCAGCTATTTCAATCGTTCTAGATGCAACAGTGCTCTCCGTTTTGCGAAATTCAGCCCCAAAATTTTTTGATCCAGACATTTGTTCATCGATAACTCAATATTTCCATGAAAGAATCAACATCGGGAGCCATGATAAAAATCATTGCCTCCAATTATACACTTTGGAGATCTCAGATAGAAGATCTCCTAAGCTGTAAAGACTTGTATGATCCCTTGGAGGTAAAAGGTGTAAATCCAAATCTAACAAAAGAATCGAAGTAGAAGAAACTAAACAAAAAAACCATCGATCAAATCAGGCAATGGATTGACCAAAGTGTATTTCACCATGTTGCATAAGAGATTGATGTGCATGTCCTTTGGAAGAAGCTGAAAGACATGTACCAGGCCAAGACTGCTCAGAATAAAACCCTTTTGATAAGGCGATTTGTAAATTTGAAGTTAAAAGGTGGAACTTCAATTTTTGAGCAACTCGTGAGTTTCAGAGTCTGGTAAATCAATTATCATCAGTAGAATTGAATTTGGGGGATGAAGTACAAACTCTCTTGTTTCTTAGTTCTCTACTAGACAGTTGGGAGACACTGGTAGTCTCTCTCAGCAATTTAGCTCTGGGAGGCAAACTTACTATGTCAATGATTAAGGATGCCCTGTTCAATGAGGTGGCCAAGAGAAAGGATGCCGATATTGACCATTTAAATGCCCTTGCCATTTAGAGTAGAGGCAGACAACAAGGAGCTAGTAGAGGGAGGGGAAGATAAAGAAGTAAAATTAGAGGAAGGTCACAAGATCCAAGGAAATCAAATGACGAAGGAAGACCCAAATACAAGTGTTATCATTATGGCATGCAAGGACACATGAAGAAAAACTACCGCAAGTTGCTACGAGAGTAAGACCAAGACAATAAGCAACTGAAGAAACAAGATGGAGAGACACTAGTCACTCTCTTAGAGGATGTGGCTATTCTTTCTATTAATGAAGAGACACACCTTTATTTTTCAAACCATGACGCTGAGTGGGTGGTAGATATTGTAACTTCTTACCATGCCACTTCTCACAACGATTTCTTCTCAACGTACAAAGTCGGAGACTTTGGTATAATGAGGATGAGAAACACTAGTTCTTCCAAGATCGTGAGAATTGGTGATATTTGGATAAAAACAAATGTTGGTTGTACATTGGTATTAAAGGATGTTCAATACTTGCCCGACCTTCAACTAAATCTATTTTCCAAGATAGCCCTTGACAGATAGGGTTGCGATAACCACTTCAGTAATGGCACATGGAAGCTCATGAAAGGTGCTATGCCAGATAGTGCCAAGCCAGTCAGAATTCCACTGGCTAATTATTTCAAGTTGAGTAAGAATTTCTATCCCTCATCAGAGAAGGACATGGAAGATATGGTAATGATTCCCTACTCTTCAGCAGTTGGGAGTCTAATGTATTCAATGGTGTGTACAAGGCCAGATATTGCCCATGCAGTGGGCATGGTGAGCAGATTTATTTCCAATCCATGAAAAGAACACTTGGAAGCTGTTAAGTGGGTTCTTAGATACTTTAAGGGTACATCAAAGATATGCTTGTGTTATGGGGGAGTTGAACCAGTTTTGGAAGACTATACAGATTCAAATATGGCAGAAGATCTTGATGATAGAAAATCTACATCAGGATTACTCTACACTTTTGCAAGGGGAGCTATGTCATGGTAGTCAAAGTTTCAGAAGTGCATAGCTTTATCCACAAAAGAGGCAGAGTATATTTTTGCTGCGGAAGCTGGTAAGGAAATGTTGTGGTTAAAACGTTTTCTCCAAAAACTAGGTATTAAGCAGAATGAATACAGGGTGCATTGTGATAGTCAAAGTGCTATGAACTTGAGAAAAAACTCAAAGTACAATTCTTGGACGAAGGATATTGATGTTCACTATCATTAGATACGCGAGGTGAGGGAGCAACAGTTGTTGAAATTAGTGAAGATCCACACAAAAGAGAATCCAACAGACATGTTGACAAATGTCATTACTCAGGAGAAACTTGAGCTATGTAAAGACATAGCTAGAATGAATGTTTGATTACATTCTCTTCTGATGATTCTGGAGAAGGAGAATTGAAAAATCCATAAACCATATCCACAACCACCCTATCCAGTAGCCCACCCTACTAGTCACCTCTATTGACGGCTAGATGGCATGATGTTAGACAAAGCTTACAGGTGCATTAAATGGGTACCCTTCTTTTCTTAATTTTTTGGCCAGAAAATCCTTATAAATAGGGAGCTTACTGAAGTCCAAAAGTATGCTCAAAAATCAGTGAGGAAGAAACAGAGAGAGAGAGATTTAGAGAGATCTCATTTGTGAAATTTTTTTGTAAAAATTCTTCTATTTTATTTCCAGAGAGAAATAATTTTTTTTCTTCTGTTTATATATTGTTTGTGGTATATTTATGGCCTTGGGTTACCAACAGAGAGGTGATAAAGAATTTTGAAGAATGGGGAGATAAGAGAGAAGTGAAGAACTTTAAAATTTGACTACACTCCTACTGTGTCCTTGCATATGAATATCACAGTGATGTGTGAACAAGCTAAAAATGACAAAGCCTTGCCAATTGAGTTAGATTGGTACATTTTAAAAAGTTTAAGGGTGCAATTTGAAACTTTTAGGTGGTGAAATGAAATTTTTAGAATCTTTATGGGAAAGTGCCACTCGCATTTAAACTTGTTTTACAAAATAGTTTTTCTTGTATATTCCAACCAAAATAAAAACCTAACTTGAATATAATGGCCCATCCTTATTGCTGCTNGAATCAACTATTTTCTCGCAGTGGATAAACAAAAATACATCTATTAATGTACCAAAATATATCCCATAATCTAAAATATGGAGAAATCAACCCTAGACATTCCCCTCAGGATCCATGCTTTCCTCCAATTGGGCTTCCCAAGCCACCTGCTCGTTAACTCTGAGCTCTTCCTCTAAACCGACATTTGAGAATGAATAATATTGTAGGGGTTGAGCACTAAGCTCTGTAGCAACATTCTCCCAAACTCGAACAAGGTTTAGAAAACATGTAAAACAAGTTGGTCTCATTTTGCAAATATCATATATCAATTTGTGAAAGAGAACAGGAACATTTCAATAGATCTCAAGTTTACACCATAGCAATAAATTAAGTGAAGTAATAACGCCAAATTACAATTAACAAATCCTTTCCAACCAAACACCATTTTCCCCAAGTTCTTGTAGAAAATATTTTCTGGTACAATAAACCATAAACCCACAATTTGTATTTGTATCTCAGGTATGATGCATGATTCGCATGAATAAACACATTNTATAGATATGATACGACAAAATTCTAAAAAATAGGATACGGGTACAACCGGGATACGTCTATAAATATATATTTTATACTTTTACAATTATGTAATGATTTAATAGATATATTTTTTAGAGATTCTTTAACATAATACACAACATTAACAATTTTTTATTTTAAAAAAAGTTACCTATCATTTCACTACGATACATATACAAAGTGGGCGTAAATAATTAAAGGAATAAAAATCAACATTTAACATTTTATTAGATGTATTTTTTGTTGAAACTATACACTAATTAACTTATTTAAACTTTTNCAGTGATGAATCCAATCCAGGAATAGTATACTAACTCTCAACCTCAATAACACATGAGCGAACATTGGTTTGGTCCTCACAAGACACCAACCCCTCTACAAGTGATAGGGAACCTTCAAACCCACATGGAGTAAAAAACGCANCTTTTCCTCCAAATCAATGAAGTTATTGCTTTTTTATCAACAAAAGACATGCGTAATCTTGTTTACATTCTAACATGTGGAATAATAAAAATTAAGTTTATGACGAAATTGTAATGTCATCTCGTGGTGTTTCTATATAACACAAAACATCCTCATATTCCANATTTTCCTCCAAATCAATGAAGTTATTGCTTTTTTATCAACAAAAGACATACGTAATCTTGTTTACATTCTAACATGTGGAATAATAAAAATTAAGTTTATGACAAAATTGTAATGTCATCTCGTGGTGTTTCTATATAACACAAAACATCCTCATATTCCATAAAGCCATATGGGCACCATCATTATCGTCAGAAATTTCAATGAAAGGACTACATTTATGGTTAATTGTCAAACTGGAGATGGAGAGAGAGAGGGGAGAGAGAGAGTGACAGTGAGAGGATACCATGAATGGATTGTTTCACATTTGAAATTTTTTTTTATCTCAGTTTCTATGACAAACCCTCATTAAAAAAGGGTAAATAGTACACNTTTCAATGAAAGGACTACATTTATGGTTAATTGTCAATCTGGAGATGGAGAGAGAGAGGGGAGAGAGAGAGTGACAGTGAGAGGATGCCATGAATGGATTGTTTCACATTTGAAATTTTTTTTTATCTCAGTTTCTATGACAAACCCTCATTAAAAAAGGGTAAATAGTACACAAGACTCCCACTATTATGAGGTTTTGAGAGTCTCCATTGAAATAGCCTTAGTCTTGTATACATCTCTTCTTGTATTACTATGAATGTTTAACGCTACTTACCTTACACCCATTCGCATTGCTTCATCAATAGGCTAAATTTTCTTTTTGAATATGTAAGCTCAGAGTCATAATAAAAATGAGGTGTTTGGTACTTGAAAAATTGTGTTTAAAATGTGANATAGCCTTAGTCTTGCATACATCTCTTCTTGTATTACTATGAATGCTTAACGCTACTTACCTTACACCCATTCGCATTGCTTCATCAATAGGCTAAATTTTCTTTTTGAATATGTAAGCCCAGAGTCATAATAAAAATGAGGTGTTTGGTACTTGAAAAATTGTGTTTAAAATGTGAAGCTTTGGTCTAGCGACTGCGGGGTGCATCAAAGTTGTGGTAAGCAAGAATTAGGGTGTTGTTTTGAGTTTGTTGTCGTGGTAAAGAGTGACCTCAAGAATGACCAACGACATTGGCAGAAAAGGATGTTGTATCTAAGTGAGCCCATTGTTGTTCCAAGTGATTCTCAAATGCAAGCAAATGAGATAGAAAGTCCGTCATAGTGGTACGTTTCTTCAACAGTGGCAGTAATATTTGTACCTATTATATGTTTTTAGAAGAGAAAAACATCAAAGGGTGTTTTCATAAAGTAAGGATAAAATTCATTTCAACAAAATTTAGTGAGAAGCCACATGATATTGGTAAATGGGTGGAGTTTTGCTAACATACCATTCAAGGTGAGATTTCCAAACAAAATAGACTACTCAAACTTAGTATCAGAGTCAATTTAGAACATTTAACCTTCATAGTCATTGCAAAACCTTCTCTTTGTATCGACAATTTTTTGGATATCACTAAAGCTGGTTGCCAGTAAGTCCTTATTCTAGGAGGCACATATATGGATATGGATACATATACGGATGCAGATACAAAATATAGATATGATACGACAAAATTCTAAAAAATAGGATACGGGTACAACCGGGATACGTCTATAAATATATATTTTATACTTTTACAATTATGTAATGATTTAATAGATATATTTTTTAGAGATTCTTTAACATAATACACAACATTAACAATTTTTTATTTTAAAAAAAGTTACCTATCATTTCACTATGATACATATACAAAGTGGGCGTAAATAATTAAAGGAATAAAAATCAACATTTAACGTTTTATTAGATGTATTTTTTGTTGAAACTATACACTAATTAACTTATTTAAACTTTTTAGTCATGTAATAATGAATAATATTTAGAAAATAGCCATGTGTCTTCCAAGTCATATGAATTTGATTTCAACTTGAACTGTTAACACCGATTAAAATTCGATTTGAGTCAATTAAAATTTATATTTTTTTGCTTATTAAAATTAGTGCCGATGAAAATTGGATTCAAGTTAATTAATGGTATGTTTGGTAAGTGTTTTTGTCTTGTGTTTTGTATTTTTGTTTTCAATTTTTGTCAAAAATGAAAACAAAAATATGTTTTGTTTCTGTTTTTGTTTTTATTTTTGTTTTTGTTTTATACTTGTTGTTTTGGAAACAAAGACAAAAAAATGAGGACAAAAAATTTATGTTTTAGGAAATACGCGAAACACAAAATACGTGGGATTGGTATTAATGACATCTCAACTTCGACTCTAGTTAGCAACAAAATAGCACTATTTTTATGATAGTGTAAATATGGGGCTTTTGTGTATTTTTTCATTCGTTTTCAATCGTCTCCCTCACAATCGAAGCCTCGAGGGAACGATTCTCTTCTCCTCTGTAACTGTGCTTGCGATTTCGTGAGCCCAAAAGATTGGACGAAGAAGAGGTTTCCCTTTCGATCTCCTTGTTGTGAAGGTAAGGTAATTGTATACATTATATTAGAATAGATCTATGTATGTAGGATTATACAATGGCAGATCTGTGTGTTTTATGGTGTCTGTGTGTGACTTTGTGTGTGAATGTTTGTTTTATGTGCAGATACATCACAGAAAATGGCTCTTTTTTTCATTTTGCCCTAAAAAATTGTGGATTTATGTGAATGGGTTTGTTGTGGTCTGTGTGAGAGTTCGTGTGTGTTTTGTGTACAGATTCATCACAAGACCCACATCTTTTTTTTTCATTTTCCCCTAAAAAATTTTTGATTTATGTGAGTGGATGTGCAAAGTAAGTGTGTGAATTCGTGTGTCTGTGTGTGTGAGTGTTCTGTTTTGTGTTCAGATCCATCACAGACCTCCCCTCTTTTTCATTTCCCTTCTTTATTTGAGTGGGTGTTCAGGGTCTTTGTGTCTGTGTGTGTGAGTGTTCTATTTTATTCTGTGTCTGGGTTAGTGTTCTGTTCTGCACCATAGTTTGGTTGAGCTGATCCTCTCCCTCGAGCTTCTTGGTCCTGAAATCAAGGGCAACCAACAATGTAAAGGGTTATGTAATCTTTGATTGTTAATATATGACTCTTTGAAGATTGGCAAGAAATATTTGATCCCTGTTCACCATGTCAAATTTTGGTGAGGATGCATGGTCATTTTCGGTTAAAGGTTCATCTCATTTCAAAGGCCATTACATTGATTGATACCATTGTGTTTGTGTTGCAATTAAATCTATAGCTAATAAAATTTTTATGTAATTAATGTCCCTTAAAATCTTCTAGATTGTTATGCTTCTTTACATTAATGCAGAGTCCCAAGTGGAGTCTCTCTGTAGCCATTTTGATTGCTGGTGTGCTTATGTATTTTAGAAACTGGAAAAAGCACTCTACATGTAAACAAAAGTTAGCTCTTGTTTATTAGTATCAAGGTTTGATTGAACTTTTGCTTTTGTGAGAGAATTTATTTGTATCAATACTGACTTACAATGTGCTTCAATCGCAGGGTATTGATTCTGAGATAGAATTTATATTGGCATCATGGAAACTAAGGTGCTTAGTCTTGTCTAGTGTCTGTTTTGCAACTTCAGGTTGCTCTGTTTTATCTAATTTCCTCTTTATATACGGTCAACGTGAGAATTTATTGTAAGCTGATTTGTAACTTTCTTTCCCTACACAAAGGATTTGCATCCCAAGGACCACTGATGGGGCATTGTTGGATCTGCATCTAGTTAGATTTATGGTTTTATCTACATTCAGACTTTCCATTAGTAACTCTCTAAAATCTTCCAGTTGAAATAGCTGTTTTTCAGAACGCCATAGTATTAAATGCATAATTTCTTTATGAGATTAATCATGCCTCTTTTTGATAAAGTGTGATGGTGAAGGTTTGCAGCTTGAGTTTTTCTTGATTCTAGTACTTGATTTATGGACATCCATTTGCAATAAAATCTGATTAGTGGTATTCAATGCCCAAATATCAAAGCCATGGATTAGCTTGGCATCGATTATGCATGACGAAGTAGGAGTTGTCGTCAGTGATCACCTTTCTATCAATGAGATCATATCCCAACAATTGCTGCTGTATACGCAATTCGGCTATGCTTTTATTTTCACCAAAACTAGGTGTTCCATCTCTGAAGCAAATATGTCCAAACAGTTACTACTATATTGGTCATCAGTTGATCTTTATTCATTGGAAAGAATATTAAGTTGTTTACAGATTTGCTAGAGAACATTAACTTAGATTATTTATTCTATAATATCCTTATTTATGACTAGCAATGGTTGTGTTCTATTTTTATATTCCACTAAGGCAATTGATTGCCCTGCTTTATAATGAGGGGAGACACTGTTTAGTCAAGACTATGTGCAGTGACCTAAAGCCTTCAGTAAGAACCTTACAGATTGCTTGTTCTATTTTTGGTGCCATGGAAATGAACTCAATATCATCTTACAAAAGCTAAATTGGCAAGGTCCACACTTGATACAGGTTTAAGAGCATCAGAATCCCCCAACATCACCAGTTCTTCAAGTTGTTCCTCATTTAGGTGTTCTTGCAATATCAGCTTGGGCATGTGTATAGGGAGGCAAATTTTATGGCTAATTTTTTCGAAATTCTAGCTGTGCAAAATTGGTGCTTTGTTGAAGGTCTTTAATTCATGGTTGTAAATTATTTTTCATGAAATAAAGTGTTGATTTGTTTGAAAATAAAAAATGAGATATTATAAAGCATATTTAGGATAAAACTAGAAGTAGTTACCAAACATGTTTTCTGTTTTTATTCTCATAATTTGATAGACAAAAATGACTTCTAAACATGTTTTCTATTTCAGTGTTTATCACAAAATAGAGACAAAATATTGTCCATGTTTTTGGTTTTTTGAAGACACAAAAACAAAAATGTTATCAAACAACCTTTAAAATTTATTTTTACGTATTAAAATTTAAGTCGATTAAACTTTATATTTTCAAAATTCAGATCGATTAAAATTCAATGCGAGTAGAGTAAAATTTGATTTGATTCGATTAAAATAAATTTTAATCAGTTCGAATTTTAATAGTTAAAAAAATTTATAAAACAAAGGGGGTTTTATTGAAGATATGTCTATCTAGAGGCGATGTTGATAAAATTTTTCCTAAAATATATCATACATAATTTAGTAAAATTATATTCTAGTTAAGCCTTTTAATCTGACAGGAGTGTCAGTGAAGATTCAAAAAATTGAGGGACGTCTTTGAAGATATAATAAAACTAGTTATTGACTGTGCCTGAAGGCATGCAATAATAAAAAAAAATAGTCAATAATAAATATTTATATTAACACCAAAAATCAAACTACAAATATAAAAGAGAAAAATGAATTTAAGTACTGATTGTAACGAGTGTGACAATTGGTACTAGTGGTTGGCGACAGTGGTGATGGTGGAAAATGGTGATGGTTTATGGTGAGTGATGGTGGATGCTGACGGTGGATGATGGTGAGAATGAGATCATGGTAGTAGCGTTAATAAATATAATATTGAGATGATGATGGTGGTGAGGTGAGCAGTGATAGTTGTGGGTGTGGTGGTGGGGCGGCGGTGGTGGTGAAATAGTGACAGTGGTAGTAGTTTGGCGGTGATGGTGGTAGTTTGACAGTGGTGATGGTGATAGTGGGGTGGCCGTGGTGATGGTGGTGGTGGGGCGATAAGGGTGGTAGTTATTATGGTAGAGGTGGTGTTGGGTTGACGGAGATGATGGCGACAGTGATGGCGGCACTGGTGAAGTTGTTCTGACAAAGGTCGTGGTAGTGGTAGTGGTGATAGCGATGAGGCGGTGGCGGTAGTTGTGGTGGTGGTGTGGCGTTGGTGGTTGTAGTAGTGTTGGTGGTGGGGGTGGGGGTGTTCGTGATGGTGTTGGGGTGGTTTCAATCACTATTTTTTTTAAGTACTTATGAGAAATATAAGTTTTTTTTTAAGCCTATTTTTCTTATTAAATTTGAGGTGTTAATATTATCCGTTGGATTAACTTCAAAGCAAAATTTAAAGAGATTTTAACCGCAAAAAATAAAAATTATTTTGTTTATCTTTTAAAATTTGAATTGTATTGTACTTTATTAATCTGAATGAAAGTTTCCCATATTACAACGTTAAAATACATCATTTATATTTGTTGCTTTAGGCCCCAAATTATCTCGGGCGCCCTTCTCCTTTTCCTTTGCCTT